TTTTCCCTCCGACACCAAGCACTCCAACTCCCCGATTTTACCTCGGACACTTCTAGCATTTGTATAGAAACAGCTGTAATTTCCCTTACAAGTTAAGCCTGCATCCTTCCTCTTGCTATCTCGAGTCGTTGTCCGGCAGTCCATGTCACCAGCCATGGCCTCTGTGGACAATTTCAATCCACCTCCCTGTAGAAAAGCAACCGGTACCCCCTCACCTCTCTCAGATGAGCCAACCCGAACCAGAGACTTTTCATCTCCTGTCGGCTTTCCCCCAATATTCAGTTTAAAAGCTGCTCTGCCACCTTTTTGATTTTAAGTGCCAGCAGCCTGGTTCCTTCTCGGGACAAGTGGAGACCGTCTCGCCTGTACAGCTCCCTCTTGTTCCAAAAAGTATCCCAGTGCCTAACAAACCTGAACCCTTCCCCCCTACACCATCGTCTCATCCACGCATTGAGACTCCTGATCTCTGCCTGTCTCTCCGGCCCTGCGCGTGGAACAGGTAACACTTCTGAGAAGGCTACCTTGGAGGTCCTGGACCTAAGTTTCCTGCCCAGCAGCCTAAATTTCTCCTCCAGGACCTCACGACTGCATTTCCCCACATCGTTGGTGCCGACATGCACCACGACCACTGGCTCCTCCCCAGCACTATCTACCAGCCTATCTAAAACACGCGTAATGTCCGCTACCTTCGCACCAGGCAGGCAAGTCACCATACGGTCAGTACGCGGGTTCGCCACCCAGCTGTCTACCTGCCTAAGGATCGAATCACCCACTACCAAGAGCCCCCCTCCCACCCTGCTCAGGGATGGTTCCTTGGTGCAAAAGGAGAGCCGCTCACCAGCTGGGGAAGAGGTCCCTTCTGAGGGCACATTCCCCTTATCCTCAGCATGGTGCCCTGTTTCCCCTAGACCCTCATGCTCCCTGACAGCAGCGGGGCTGCCAGATCCAGAGTGGGACGTAGCTAACAAGTCCCCGAGAGTCTTTTCTGTGCGCCTAGCTGACTGTCTCTGCTTCTCCAGGTCAGCCACCTTGGCCTCAAGGGAGCACACACGTTCCCTGAGAACCAGGAGCTCCTTGCACCGAGGACACACCCAAGACTTCTGCCCAGTGGGCAGATAGTCATACATGTGACACTCCGTGCAAAACACTGGATAGCCCCCAACCCCCTGCTGGCATTCTGGCTTCATAATTCTTTTAAAATAAATAAATATAATCCCCCTTTTAAACCCTTGGTATTTATGTGGGTTTTGTTATCAAGTCAAATTATTTTACGGGAAAGACAAAGAGCCTGGCTCTTTTTGGGCTACTTACAGAGCCCCTAGTCTAAGAGTCCCTAGGCTAAGAGCCACAGGCAAAGAGCCCTTTAGCCTCTGCCAAGGTGTTTCCTTAAATAGAGGCCTCCCCCAGCAGAGGTCAGGCAGCAGCTATTCAAATTCAAATTCACCCAGGCACTCAATCACAGGCAAAACAATGCCCCTTCCACTTCCTCTCAATTACAGGCAATCCCAGTCAAACAGTGCCCGTTCCTCTCCCACACTCAATCAGCCAGGACTCTGCAAGAACTCTAAGTGCTTCCACACACTGCTAAACACAGTTTTCCCACAAAATATCCTTAGCTGAATTCTCTCAGCTGAAAGCAAGTAAAAGAAACCCACTCACCTCTCTCACAGCTCTCTCTCCTGCTCCTGCTCAGAGCTCAGCTGGTCTCCTCTGCCTCTGGCAAGGTGCTTCCTTAAATAGAGGCCTCCCCCAGCAGAGGTCAGGCAGCAGCTATTCAAATTCAAATTCACCCAGGCACTCAATCACAGGCAAAACAATGCCCCTTCCACTTCCTCTCAATTACAGGCAATCCCAGTCAAACAATGCCCGTTCCTCTCCCACACTCAATCAGCCAGGACTCTGCAAGAACTCTAAGTGCTTCCACACACTGCTAAACACAGTTTTCCCACAAAATATCCTTAGCTGAATTCTCTCAGCTGAAAGCAAGTAAAAGAAACCCACTCACCTCTCTCACAGCTCTCTCTCCTGCTCCTGCTCAGAGCTCAGCTGGGTGCAAGAAATGGGGCTCCCTGAAGGAGGCTGGGTGCAAGAAATGGGGCTCCCTGAAGGAGGTTTTATGGAGTTTCCCACCACTCTAGGGAATTCAGCACTTGTACAGGGAGAACGAACCGTTGAAATTGGGGCTGCTACTGTGGATGGAACCGCTTGAGGAACCACAGCTGAAGTGGTCTCATCTGTAGTCTGGCGAAGACAAGTACCGCTGTGGTGGCGGCCATCAGACCAAAGAGTTGTTGAATCTGCCTTGCTGATGCATCTCCCTGTGTCCTTATTAGGTTGATGAGATAATGTCATCCACCCTCTTGGGAGGAAGAAAAGCTTGGCAGACAGTCGAATCCAAGATCACTCTGATAAACTGAACTCTCAACGAAGGAAGGAGCATTGACTTTTTTAGGTTCATCTTCAAACCCAGCACATCTAGGGTGACCAGCGTTAAATCGATATGGTTGAGCAGAGTATCTCTGGAACTTGCTATCAACAACCAGCAGTCCATGTATGGAAAGATCCACACACCCTGAAGACGAAGGTACGCCGCGATGACAATAATCATTTTTGTAAAGACTCTGGGCGCTGTTGAGAGCCCAAAAGGGAGGGCTTTGTATTGAAAATGGCCCTCCATGACTGCAGAACGCAAAAACTCCCTGTTAGATGGGTGGATAGTTATATGGAAATATGTGTCCTGCAAGTCCAGGGTTACCATCCAGACACCTTCGCTGAGAAGGGGAAGAATGCTTTGCAATGTTGTCATTCGGAATTTCCGCTAGGAGATAAAACGGTTGAGTCCCCTGAGGTCCATAATAGGACGGAGGCATTGGTGGAGGATCTCAATATCGAGAGAGTCGGGAGGAAGTGGACTGACTGTCCCATTCCATCGGTTGGGGTGGGAGCCATGGCATGCTACTCGAGAATGGATAGGCCCCATACATGTATTGCCATTGCCGTTGATCCCGATGGAGTGGCAGTGGGTGGATTGGTGCCGATGGCCATTCTCGACCATCAGGTCAGAATGGTGAAGAATGAACAAAAGTGTTGGCTCCACGGTCGGAGCATAGGCTTTCGACACTGGAAGACCGGGAGATCTGCATTAAGTCCATATTGTGCTCAGAGTCAGTGAGCTGGACAGGATGCAGCGAAGGTGACAGAGGTACACTTTGTTGCTGCTCTCAGCTCGAGGAGTCAAGCAAAGTGGCCCCCATAGGATTCGGTTCTGTGGCCCTCCAAAGAGTCAGTGGAGTTTGCGTAGGGGGAGTTTTCTTATGCTTTTTGTGCTTGACTGGCTGATCGTCCTTGCCCTCCTTGGATTTTTGGAGTATGGGCTTTGGACTGAGATGTCTGGGCCGAGCGTTTCAGCATCGGGCGGTCGACATCTGAGTGATTCGGTATCGGGGACAGTGCAACTGTCGATGCCGAAGTGGGCGTTGACATTGATGCATGTCCCAAAGTGTCCTGTGATAACATCGGTGAGAGCGCTAATTCCAAAGGTGCGACACGAAGTCTAGCAGCTCTGTTCTTTCTCGTCTGCTTTGAGAACTTCGCGCAATGTGCACAAGAGTCCACTTGGTGTGATTCCCCAAGGCACAGAATCATCTGGGGGGATGATTTTACTACCGCACTTGAGGCACCATTTAAAGAAACCCCACCTCTTGGCCATAGGCCGGGAGAGGGGGGGAACACGGTCTGCAAAAAGGAGACCAAACGACTAAGTCCGAGAAGAGTAAATTGTAGTAACAATGTCCTTTTCACTACCAAAAAACAAGAAAAGCGAAGAAACTTTGAAGAAAAGAAGAGAAATAGGCCTTAAGGCCAAAATGTTTTACCGACCAAAGCGGAAAAGATCCTACCAGTACGGCGGTCAGAAGAGAACTGGTGGGATTGTCGTGCCCCTCCCTTAGTCATGCGCAGTGGGGCCGGCACGAAAATGCCTTTCGCTTTTCAAGAGGAACCGATTGAGGTCGGCGCAGGCGCACTATATCCCAAAAGTGTGATGCGCAGAGACCACGAAGAAGATCATAGGGTTTTGAAATAACTAAATCCAGTCCCATGTAGATTTAACTATATTCATATAAGGCAACAATAGCAACCGATAACATAACTTTTAGTTGACCCATTATCTATTCTATCTAATATGTCATCTTAGAAATGAAGGAAGTGAAATTGATGCAATAGCTCCTATTCATAATTTGAAGAAAAGTCCATCTTTATTTTTTTTATCATTACATATCACAGAAGAACCCAAATAATCCAGAGTACAAACAAACATGTCTTTCACTATCAGCTACACTGTTCAAAATTTGGCTTTGCCAATGAAAACTGGCCTCAGTTAGACAAGTTCTTGATTATTTTACCAATGGAAGTTTGCAGTCCTAATAACATGTCATGTAACTGTTAAACTGTATAAACAACTAGTTGAGTCTGCAAAGGCATGCCCAACCTTACAGAAAAAGAAGCACATGCGTTTATAAGTGTGATAGGTAACAACAACAACAACAAGTCGTCTAGCCTTATGTGTGGTATAGCCAGGAGATCCTAAGATTGACTGGCAGCCAGAAGTTCTAGCTCTTTTAGCATTATGCACCACTAGCTGGCGAGCTAGACTTGTTTGTGGGGTTTTTAGGCAAGAATGCCACTGCCTGCCACTGCGTCATGACCCTGGTATTCCTTGGAGGTAGCCCTTCCAAATACTAGCCAAGGCTGATCCTGTTTAGCTGCCGAGATTGGGCTAGCCTGGACTAGCCAGAGCTATTTAACCTTTTTTTAAAGTACACAGCAACTGCACAGTTTTTTTTTTGGCAAAGCATAGATTATGCTCAGATGTTGAATATAGAAGAAATGTTTCTATAAACCTACACTGATGCCAGATGAAGAAATCTGACATACTCCTACAAACATGAAATGTTACATCACAACACAAGACTGAACTGAAAAGGGAATTAATTGCTCACCTGCAATATGAATGAAGCACTTGGATCTGTGCTGGCTGATTCATTCTGCATTGTATTCTGTTGTGTGATTGCATCTTCTCTTTTGCGCTCTTTTTGTCCTGCTTCATCATCATCATATTCATCTAAACTCTAAAACAAAAATATGGTAATGTTTAATACCAGCACGAGAGTTCAAAATATTGCAATACAATGAATTTATCAGTCACCAAATATTTGTTTTGTTAAAGGAAATATTATACTTAGAGGATACCAGTTAAACAAAAAGCAATTGGTTAAAAAAAGGAAAGACACTACAGTGTTCCATTATCACAGCTCTTTATACTTTTCAGCAGCATTTTTAAAATGTCTACAACTGTGAAAAGAAGTAAAGCAGATGGAAAATTTAAATCCTGGCTGAAATCCCAGACTGGAAATTTAGTCTTTCATACTGAGACTTCGATGTGTGTGCAAACAACTAGCCCAAATTTAGCCTGCAAATGACTGCTAATTAGCCCATTGCTCACCTACATCCTCAAAGATGGTTTTTCATCCCAGATAAACTCATGGTGGGTTTCACAAAGGAGACCACCAGTAGTGGTACTAGAAAATGCATATGAGCAAAGAAAGGTCAAAACGAATTCAGAGGAGACAAGTTCCATCCCACATCTTATGGAAATTATGTTCTATGGGGGATGGTGAGTTGCAGAGGAGGAGGGCAATTAACTCTCTGGATATCTGGGTGGGGAATTAGAGTATGAAAGAGAATGCATGAACCAAGGCACTGAGTGAAGCAGAACTGTAATAAATAGTATGGTAGTTAGACCAACAGCCTGATTCCACATGGTAGATTCATATGTCAGAGTGCATTGTATTAGGGCATTTCCAGAATGAAGTGAAGCCATCTTAGTGTGTGCAAGTCGGAAGTCTGGGATCTCCCTCCTACGGGAGCTTACTGTCTTAATTGAATTTTTCTGTAACCTTCATTCTTAGAAAGCTTTTTTTTTCATAAAGGACCACTGACTTCATATATGGCTTCTCCTGTAAGAGAAGATTATATGGGGAATTTATACTAATTTACTAGAAGAAATGAATTGAGATTACAATTCAAAGCTGATTCTCTCTGCAACCTCTAAAATAACTGCAAAAAGTGAAAACTCTGCAAACCTTCCAAAAAGAATGTTTTCAGATTGTGCTAGTCTGAGGATAAAGCCATCTTTGTAAAGAAGAAAAAGCTTTCAAAACTCAAAGGTATGTGATTTTTCATTATCCCAACTATATTTTGTCATTTAAACACATTAGGGTATTATATAAAAGAAAGCTTGCTGGATTCAAATGTAGGTGCTATCACTTACAAGCAAGAATACTAGGTCTTCAGTTTAAAACCCCAGGACTAACATGAACTGCAAAACTGGTGATTTTGATCTTCTACTAATACTTAGAAGGTAAAAACAGACATGGGGAACCAGTATGGGCTAGTGCTGAAGCATTTGGAGGGGTAGGGTTTTTAAACCCTTCTCCATACTGCTGTTGTGATTTTAGAATGCCAACACACTCTACCTAGTTGCTCCAGACCAGGAACTATTATGGTACCTGCATGATTCATCATACAAATAGCAGCTCCTGATTTGGGAACTCTGAAATCAGGAAAATGGAGTTGGAGAAAAAAAAACACAACCTTCCACTGTAGCCTCATTAGAAATCAGCTCCTCTATAACGTCTTTGAACACGTTTAAACCTTCAAGAGAGCCTATTGACATGTCTTGTTTTCCCCCAAGAGTCAATCTTGTACCTAGTCATTCATTATACCAGGAATCCTTGGGCATGCCATTCTCATTCAGTCATTCTCCCCCCGCCCCACACACACACAACACACACACATAACATACCCCACAATAGTCACTTAGCCTTGCAACAATCTCAATTTTTTAGAGCAAAGGTGGCAAATATCTATTTTTAGCAACCGTACTGAAAACATTCCAATCATTTTTAGAGATGATCATATGTTATTCCAGTAAATTACAACATTCCCAGACTTGATAGTTTGTCTCCAAGTATCAGCATGCCTTTCACGGTTACCATTCTCCCTCCTTAATTCCTGTACTCACATGCCTTACAATGGCAGTCATTATATGAACTATAAAGTGTTTTACACGGCTATGCTGGGAAGGACCGATACGATGCTATAATGTATAATTCTATAATATGACTCTATAAACAACAGATAAAGCAAAGTAATTACGTGATGGACAGCTTGTGAATTAGCAGCTAATTACTTCCAAGAGAGTTCCAAGGAACCCTTTAGTAATAATGTGCAGGCAGCAACCTACTGGGCAGAGGCCGAGACGAGTCCAAGCACAGTTATGGTGCAAGGTAAACTAGACAACAAGCCTTATCAATAAGGCTTCCATTTTAAAAGGGTATGACTAAAAACTGCTTATGCAAGTTTGTGTTTCAGAATGACAAAACAGTTGGGATGCACACATAGCTTCAGTTTCTTTTAGTTTTAAATATTTTTATTCTTTTTTCTTGACTATCTTCATAACATATGTTCATTTTATTTACTCTTCTCCATCACAAATTTATTCCCCCCACACTTTCAGGATGAATTTCTCAGACAAGTAAAAATCTCCTTTGTACAGCAGGCACAGGCAATGTCAGACAATCCAAAAAAACAAAACAAAAAAAACAAGTCAAGAGCACAAATAATACATAAAAGGCTGACCATGCCAATCACACCCTACGTGTGCTCACACCTACTTTTAAACTCAGTGTACAGTCAAGGACAGTAAACCTCGTACCCTTCCACTCCTTGCTTAACTTCACTCTGATGCTGGAAGCCCTTTTTGTCCAACATACTGGGAGTGAGCCAGGCTAAAGGGAAAAAATGCTTCAGGCATCCAAACGCCACAAGATAAATTACAGGAGAAGGCGGGATTTAACTCCCCTTGCCCATGCACTCTTTCATCTAAAAATAGACACACACCCCACAGCCCCACTTTCTTTACATGTGTATAGGAAACTGCCAGGTTTCTTATCCCTACAAGGGCTTTAAGCAGCAGTGGCTAGGATGGAAAGGAGAGATTTCTCTCTCTCTCTCAGAGAAACAGTATAGCAGTTTTTAAACAAAACAAAATTAAAGATATTATGAGATCACAGACCCATATTCATCAATGATCTCTGTCTCTTAGTCAATTTTGCCCTGGTCTACCTGATTCTCTGTTACTGTTTCCCATGCCATCTTAATGTGTGTAGTGCAGACACCACGTGTTTCCTGAGGGGCCACAGTGTGGTATTTGCCTCCATTTCTCTTCCCCAAGTCTGTGAAGCTGCCTGCTTGTATACAAGGAAAACATCTGCCTCTGTGACTAACAGGTAGACACCGCCAATCTGGGGGGGGCAGCAATCCCCTTTAGTCTGTAGCATTGCCTGCCTAAATATCAGTGTGCAAAATTTTTTGTCACTTTGCCTTCTAGACACACAACCCAAGGGAAACAGAATACCAAATAAACAAGGCGCATCAAATTTATAAAGAAAAGAATCAGACCTTTCCCAGGCCAGTGATGGGCATAAACACCACTTTGGAAAGACAAGCCTATCGGCATGATCCTACTGTGGCAAGATCTGTACAAAACAAAGCAGCACGTATCCTAAACTTAGGCAGCAGAAAGTTCTTCCAGCCTGAATAACTCTTCCATTGGAGTATAGCATCAAACTCTGCTCAGGACACATGCCTCTCTTCTTCCTCTCCTCTTCGTTCCAACCTTACTAAATAGCTGCTTGATAGGAAGTAATTGCAGAAGTGGGAATAATCAGCTGAATCAAATAAGATGTCATCTTCCAGGGTTGACAAAGTTGGAGAAAAGCTTTCCTTGCAGTTGCATTAACTTGCTTCCCTAGCAGTAATGCTGGATCCAGTATAACCCCTAGGCTCTTAACTGAGTCAGCAAGAGTGAGAAGTAAAGTGTAAGTCAAGGCCTCAACCTTCCTAACTAGCCTTACTTCCATCTTATCAGGATTCAGCTTCAATATGGAACGTATCCTCTTGGCCATTTAACCTCATTGGTCAGGCTGTGGTTCAAGACCCTTTACTGCAGCACCTGGGGATTTGGATAGAGAGATACAGAGTTGGGTGTCATCAGCATATTGATAGCACCCAATTCTAAAGCTATGAACAATTTCCCCTCAAGGCTTTACATACAGGTTGACTATTAAAGGTGTAAGACTGAATACTGTGGAACCCAACAGGACAAGACCCACACTGATGACAAGTGGACTTCAACTGGGTATCTTTGAGCTCAGTCCGTAAGGAATTCTTTAAAACAGTTCAAAGCACATCCCCAATATCTATTTCTGCCTCCAAGTGTCTCTCTAAGATGCCATCACTCACTGCAACAAAGGCTGCAGATAAATCTAGTAGGAACAAAAAAACACAAAGCCTTTGTCTGCATCCAGGTGGAGATAATCAACTAATGCCATTTCTACCCCATAGCCTATCTTAAAAACCAGAGCAGACGAATTATCAAAAAAAAAACCCATGGAGTTCATCCACCACTGCTATCCACATCACCTTCTTGCCCATAAATGGCAAAGTAGAAAGAGGATGATAACTGGCCACATCATTTTTTTCTATAGGGATGGTTTTTAAAGTACTGGGTTGATAACTACTTCTTTTGAGTTGCTGAGGGAAGATACCCTGAGTCAGTGATTGATTTATGATTGACATGAAGGGCTTGTTAATGAGGTCCTTACATAATTTCAGCAGCAAGGATGGACAGGGATCCAGAGTATAAGTGGTGCCTTTCATAGATCCCAAGATCTTGTCCATATCCATCATGGTAACTGGGTCAAAATGGTCCATAAATGGACCAGACTGTGCAACACGGACAGGCATCCATCTCAGAATGTATACAGGAGTTTATCAGCAAAAAACTTTGCAAAAGCACTGTATCTGTTTTCATCTTCCTGAGAAAACAGAAGCTCAGGTATAGGAGTCAGCAGATGCCGATACCTTAAACAACTGGGACTGTCATGAACTAACTGATGTGATGATAGCTGAGAAATAACATATCTTTGCTGCTATTACTGCAGCTTCTAATGAGTTCTGTAACATGCTCTGCTGGATTCAGCACAAGTTGGCTGCCAGCATCACT